TTACCCGAAACGACAAATAATGAGTAATCGATATGGTGATAAATATAAGGAGTTTTATTTATACTCAAAGGGTTGAGGCCATATGGGATTAGTATTATTCTTGTGTTTCACTTTGCATGTTTTGACTTCCTGAATAATTTAATTGGTTAAGAACAGTCAAATTATTCGAACGGGCCACAGTCGTTAATATGTTGGAACTAGTGTGTGGATTGTCTAAAAGAGTATTAGACATAAGCAAATGTTTTCTGCAATGTTCATGAGTGCTTATGAATATGGATTTGAGCATTGGATTAAACCCACGCTCACTTGGATCACTCCATGAATTATATCACGAGTGATTGGTGAGACGATAACATCTTATATTCTTGAAACTGAGATGTGTGAGTTGTATCTTGCTAATCGGTTGCACATTGATAATATGTAAACGCACTAGTAACTTGGTGTTATAAAACATATTGTTGTGTGTGATTCGGTGAATATGTGCAAGCAAGCATTGTATCAAAGTTTATCCGTTCCTTTTATCCAAAGAAGGATAAAAGAGATATCATTGGGCCCCTCGATGATTTAGTGATGACAAACGTAAATGCTCGGCCGGGCTAGGGCTAATTTGATTTGTTCAATTAGTTAGTCGTCGTAAATCGGAGATCGAGAAATAGTACAAATAGAATGATTTGAAATCATATCTCATACGATATCTAGAATGGAGGAATATATGATCCCTTATCTAAAGGACACGCGTATCTGATAGGATCAGAGTTGAGAGTGGATTTGGAAAGCTACGATTGTAGATAAGGATCTGAAGTCATACGCATAATAGTATTAGACTTATCCAAGTGGGAGACTGTTGGATTAGTGTCTAAGTCCATAACTATTTTGGTATGTATTTGACCCGATGGTGCATGGTCCTTTTGGGTTGCCTTCACCAAAGCAACTTGATAGGATTAATTATGGAGAGAAAGGATCAAATATGATTTATTAATATATTATGAGAATAATATATTAAAGGAGAAATCATATTGTTTAATTAATATTAGTCAAGAATTAATTAGTAATTAGTTTTGTGACTAAAAGAGATTAATTAAACTTATGGGACTGGAATTGTAATTATAAGATAATTGCAATTTAGGCTATGGATTGTCTTAAATTAAGGAGTGGACGAATTCTATGGGGAAGCCCATAAGGAAATCTCCCAAGGCCTTAATTAAAGGAGTCTATGGGTTGCTTAGGGCTTAAGCATCCAAATTAGGGTTTCCTTGTTAGATAACCCTAATAGCCTCACTATATAAAGACCCCTTATGACCCAAAAACGTGGTGAAGACTTCTTCTAGGGTTAGAGCACGTTTTGGGTAGCCTTCATCCTCTCTCCTCTTCAGTCTCTTGCTTATGGTGTTTGTGAACCATTAGAGGAGTGATATTTATGAGTCTAAGCTTTCTAAAGTCCATACAAGGAGGAATTGACATTGTTATTGCTACATAATAATCAAGGTATGATTTAAACCCTAATTATATGTTATATTGATTATCATATGTTAAATCTAGGGTTTATAGTCTAGGATAACTTGCATGTACTATAGAGAAACCTAGATCCAAGCATTAGGGTTTGTATGAGCACATAGGATGTTCTTATGACCAAAACCCATCAATAATTTGTGAAACACTTCTACTTCGTTAAACACTTCAACTTTGTTAAATGATTCTACTTAGTTAAATGTATGCCTGTGCTTGTCAAATTTATATACATAATGTTTAAAGGAGTTAGGAAGGCAAGTTCGCCCTATTTCCTTTTTTCTTCGTTGATATGTGGTCTGGTGGGATCGGATGTCTGTCCGAAGGTCGTTTGATCACTAGTTATATATTATGTATACAAGCATAGACATATAGGTTTACATTAGTCAGTTCAGTTGTGAGTCTCTATCATTAGTCCAGTATTTTACATCAGATCTCACTACACGAGATACATTTTCAGTACACGGCCTTCTCCGTTGTCAAGTTGGTAACCAGAGTCTCTTGTAGGGAGAGCGGACATTGTGTGTATAGCTATATGGGATGTACACCCCCGCACCCTGACTGCTAGCTATAGTCCACGGCCTACCAAGCCAAGGGGTGACAAATGTCATATTCATAGCGATGCTTGCAGGGTGTCCAGATCTCTAGTGTCTATCAACATGGTTACGGGTATCTCGGGGTTACCTTATAATTTATGGCCTTAAGGTAACGGGTTCTAACACTGTATTCACTGTATTTAGACCTTGCTAGACGTATCATTCATTTGATATCGTTTGGGGTCTGTGTTCACTGTTTTTAGACCTTGTTAGACGTATCTTTCATTTGATACTGTCTGGGGTATGTGTCTCCCTTTTTGTTAGACTGAGCCAGGCGTACCGTTCATTCGATACTCGCCTGGAGTCTATGATTTCTTTTGCCTTAGTCAGCAGTCTTCACTGCTGAGGCATATGTTATTTTCCCTGATCTTCTCCTACTTTCTTTCAAAATCAATACCACATTTCGATAATGATAGTGTTAAGGAAAAATTTCTTTTTACCACATAACTCTGTCCAGTATTGGTAGACGACTGCTTTTAATTAGAAAATATAAGATTTTCTGGAAAGGACTCTAATTCACTATATACTTTAAAACTAATACTTATATAAAGTTATTTGGATAAAATGACACTAAATACTTATGAAGTCACCAGCATTTGTAAAAATGCTGATACTCGCATTTCAAATAACTTATATTCTTAGGTCAGCAATAGACAGGTACATTCCCGGAGCTTTTAACGAAGACAGTTTAGTACCAAGCTGCGCCTATATTATTACTTGTATATTTTGAAGTTCTATGTAATGTAAACCGTGTAAAACTATTACTTTTAATGCAATGGTTGTTGTACTTTGATTACTATACTGCATATGTTGTGATACTTGATATGACGTCATCCACCCCAGAATGTTTCCACCGTTCTGGTTTTGGGGTATGACATCATATGTGATAGTTATGTGTCTTTCAAGTTGGGAAAAAAATAAAAATCCATAAGTATTTTGGGTTATAGGTTCGAATACCCTTTTCTAGATCTTGTTGATTTGGTGCATAAACATGAGTAAGCTTCTTGTCTAAGGGGTGTGAAGGTGTGTGGTTGTAACTGAGCCCACTTGCGGGGTACCCGATACATGGGATGTGTGGGTTGGGTCTCGGCCACTTGCGGGGTACCCCGATACATGAAAATAGTGAATATTAGGATTCACCCACTTTTGACCCCTAATATTCACTATTTTCATTGTATTTCTTCAAAAATTCTCCTTTCTCTCTCAATACGTATCTTGAACATTTTTGTGTGTGTGTTCTTGGTGCAGTGATGTGTGTAATAATCAAAGTAGAATCAAGGCCAAAGTTAAGGGTTTTTTCATTAGATTCAGGAACTAAATGTAAACATCTGTTACCTAACTTTTAGTAGGTTTAATTTGTATTTCTTAGATGTTTTGTTAAAGACCTAAGATTTGGGAAAGTATCTCCAAAAAGGAATTAAAGGTAGAAAACGATACATTATGCTTTTTCTGTTATGATATTTATGAAAAGTGTAATTATAATATAAAACCCTAATCTGGATATGTGATTATAAATTTTTATGAGACTTCCAGGTATGGTTGTAAATGAACTGAATGTTCAACGAACTGTTCTTGAACCGTTTCGCGGGAATTTCTTTTATGTTCATTTATTTAATCAATGAACAAACATGAATAAAAATTCTTGTTCATTTAGTTAAACGAACGAACAATGACAATGGTCTCGTTCGTTCATTTATGTTCGTAAAAGTTCGTTTAAGTTATTCGTATATGTTCATTTGTTTATTTTTTTTCGTTTAAGTTAGTTTATGTTTATATATGTTCAATTGATTTGTTATTACATCACTATAGTATATATTCGTTTATGCACATGTATGTTTAATTGTGTTTTTATTATCTTTGTTCGTTTATGTTCGTTCGTTTAGCATATTCACGAACATGAACAATGTAATTTGTTAAAAAAAAAGAACATGAACAAGAAAACTCATTCGTTTATCGATTAATGTTTGTTCTTTAGTTCGGCTAACTTAAATGAACAAACATGAACAAGCCCTTGTTTGTATTCGTTCGGTTCGTTTATAGCCATACTTCTAGGTATTATCGAGACTTTAATGACATTAAAAGTGTGAAAAGTGTTGCTAATATGAATTTGGAATTTTAGATCTCATATGACATTTTAGGTCAAATATTAATCCTATGAAAATGTATAGGATTTAAGGAAGAATTGGAACCAAATGGAAAAGATAAAGATAAGGGCAACAGTTAGTTGATCTAAATAACAAGGTGAGTACATGTTGATTTTTCCCATTTTGGGATACATGGCGATAGCTATAATGATTTTATTTCATACAAATTTTATGAAAATAATTCTTATTGATCCTCAATTATGCTCAGTGTTTTACCTATAAAGCTTTTCTAAAGTAACTCATATGCTTATAAATTGTTATCGATGATAAATTATGCTACTTAATTAATTATCTGTGAGTCTAAGTTTTTTTTTCTATGCTATTACTTATAATTTTTAAATGTCTTTCTTGTTAGAAATAGTTATTATGCATATCATTCCATTTGTATGTGATGTAATTTTATAAAAGAAAAGTGGTGATCATGTATATATTGAATGTTACTGCATAGTAATAAAGTAATATCCAGAAAATAAGGATATCTAAATATATTGATACCTTAGTAGGTTGATTTATTCTTCTTA